TTAGTAATTTTAAAAAATAGTAGTCGCACCACTGTAACATGAGATATGTCGACCAAACAACCAATTTTCCAGATGTTACAACTCTAACCGGCGGCGGAACGAGAGCAGAGAACGTCATTAAAATTTTTATGAAGATGGATCTTTCACTGCTTTTTTTCATTTTTAATCTTGATACAAATGGAGATGGACTACGATAGAGGATTAGTAATATTAAAAACATAAAGTGCGTGATTTGTTTTTGTAACTTATATAATTATTAGTTTCAGTACATTTCGGGGGGGGAGAATAAACCTAACCAGTACGCTTCTTACGCATTACAACATACAAAATGAAGAAATACAAATAGATGATGGTCTAACAAAACAACATAATGAAATATAATCATGATGGCATGTATTTACGTATCTCCTTTTCTGAACATATTAAAAGAGGATCCAAATATACGTACACTGACAGGCAAAAAATTCCACCCGATTTTTTTTCAATTTCCCCAAAAAAGAAAACTATGCCCTTAAATTGCCTAATTGTTTTTATCAATAAATATTAGTTTATGCTATGTTTTAGATTGGGAATATCAATTAGACGTAAACACACTTAATCCTTAATCGAAAACAAGGATAAAGGATTTTTCAATGTTTAATTTTTACGGAATTTAAAATTTGTATTCAGTCTCATTGGAATTGAAACTGTTTACTTTTCATCTTTGTTTTCTTAATTTCTATTTTTAAACTTCAAAATCCCACGTGCTGAAGATGTTGCGCGGTGTGGCACTTATCGATGATGTATATGTACGCGACTATTGCCATTGTAGATCCCTACGAAACACTGCGAGACGCCGTTAGACGTTTTCGAAAAACTGGGTCCTACCATAGAAGGCCCGGTTCTGAACGCCCTACTGTAACAACCACAGGATGACGGTTTTTAGACTTTGACAAATTTGCGAAACCGGCACCTTACTGTTGTTCATACTAGTCATCACTGCTCAAAGAAGATGAAATCAGTATGGACTGATGGCTCTCGCCCCTTAAGAGGACCAGAATTGAAGAGAACACACAGATATGCACGGCTCGCATTTGCTCGAGAACTCAGCCATTGGTCTTTGGACGATTGGCCCGCTGTACTTTTTACAGATGAGTGTAGATTTGCTCTACGATCTCTAAATGGGCGTGAAAGAGTGTGGAGAAGGTAAAATGAAAGGTACCAAGCCTGTCATTTTTCCAAGAGTCAATCTTTTCAACGTAGCTCAGTGATGGTGTGGGCGGGAATTTCAATGCAGAGTCGCACAGAGTTGGTTGTTGTTCGTGGAAGGTCTTTGTAGGCCACTCGCTACGTGAATGAAAGTTTGGAACACCATGCGTTGCCTATCCTCGATGAAATCAGCGACAATCCTATTCTAATGCACGATAATGCCCTCCCACATGTCGTTCGCATAGTACAAACGTACATTCAACAGTATAACATCAGAGGTTAGCCTGGCCAGCCCGTTCTCCAGACTTGACCCCCATCGAACATTTATGGGATTACCTCAAAAGACGAATTCAAGCACGTCCATCACTTCCTGATACGCTCCACGATGTTCAAAGGACGCCTTCGTGAAGACTGGCCTAACCTCCAGTAAAGAGACATTTCCACACTGGTAGAAATTATGCCTAGGCGTCTTCGAGATGTTCTTAAGTCAAGAGGAGGAAATACCCGATATTGAAAGGTTAATTAAAATTGACAATTAATTAAGGTTTTTAGTAGAGATGAAAAAAAGTTAATGTCACGAGAAGGATTCGAACTCACGACCTTCGGCTAGATACGCCGCTGCTCTACCACCTGAGCTATCGTGACCTCGATCCACTCGGACATCAACTCCCCATCTCAACCCCAACTTATGAGTTTTCCCTCCTTTTGCCATTTTTCAAATGTCGTGTAATCAGTTTAGATTCTCGACGACAATGAAATGGCGACGGAGAGCTTTAGTGAAGTGTTTAGTGTTCGCCATTTTTCAAAACGTGGGAAAACTCATAAGGTGGGGTTGAGATGGGGAGTTGATGTCCGAGTGGATCGAGGTCACGATAGCTCAAGTGGTAGAGCAGCGGCGTATCTAGCCGAAGGTCGTGGGTTCGAATACCTCTCGTGCCATTAACTTTTTTTCCTTAATTAATTGAAAGATATTAATTGGTCAAGCGGACCACGAAAGTAGCGAGTTAATGAAAAATGTAAAACAAATTTTATCTGTCCGTCTTTCTTTTTTTTTTTTTTTTCATTTCCTTAGCCATTTACATTTTTTTACTTTTATAGACGTCATTTTTACTTTTACTCAGTCATTACACGTTAAAAAAGTGAAAATTTTATTAGTATATAAAAATATAAACAAATCAAGTTATGTTACAAGTGGGCCTTTTGTGCCTGTCAGTATATATCCAAATTATGCATTTCACAGATTTTTCATGAAATTTCCCAAATTTTCCGTAATTAGTTCTATGAAATGGGCGTAAAAACTAGTCGCTGACGGCAATTGTGAGAAGGGGCATGGAGATTTAGCTGAAGCTGTGGACAAGAGTAATGGCCGTTTATCAGCTTATACAAGAAACACATTCCCATCAACAGATAGCGAACCTGAAGTGAGTTTCATTTCAGTTTCAACCAACCGGCATACTCGTTATTATCTCATTAAAGTCCTAACTTGTAAATTAGGTATTTAATAAATTTGCTCTGAACATCTTCAAATAGATTAATTTGATTGAATGCCTCAGAGCTAACGAACCAAGCTACAGCACTCAAGTATGCTATGAACCTACCCAAAAATTTTAACACATTAATATTCCTGAAACCTGACGTATTCATCTTAAGGAACCATAAGCTTATATTACACCTGTCTAGAACTAAATCAATATTAGGAGAAAATGAACCCACAGAGTCAAAAGTTACTCCCAAATCGGAAAGTTGGGACCTCCGACTCAGTTGCGATCCCAGTAAATAATAGGAAGAGCGATAGGGATATTTCCTCTGTTAAAAGGAAATAAACTTACATTTGTCATTATTAAGAGAAATTTCATTCCTCAGGCATCAAGACGGTATTATAATTTTCTGCAATCGCACATTTCCCTCAACATTATTGACAAACTTTTATATCATCTCCCAATAGTAAAAGTTCTGAATCTTTGAAACAGGAAGGCACATCGTTGCTGAAAATTAAAAATACAATTCTACCAAAGTGAAATACTTGGGGTAGACCAGATATTCCTCTAATGGTTATGGAAACCTCTAAACTTTTTTTTTACGAGGGTTCGCAACAGCAGAGGTCATATAAACCTTCAGGGTGCCGGTGTTTTTGAAAAAAAGCCCATTTGTAAGAATGTCGGATTCGAATGCAGGGCCGCTGGATTCGAACCCGGGACCTTTACCTTACAGTGATGAGCGCCGTGTCAAAGACTAAACCTTGAGGCCACCGACGCCCCAAACCTCTAAACTTCACGTTAAGATTTCTATTGGAGAGATAGGATCTAATCCATGCCAAAAAATTGTCACCAAACTCAAAATGTTGAAGATTACCCAAAAGCGATCCATGGACAACTCTATCGAAACCTTTAGCAATATCCCCATAAACTGCGTCTACTTTTTACCATTCTCAATGGAATTAAAAATGAATGCCTTATATGTTAATAGGTTAGCCATAGTTGAGAGTCCATTCAAAAACCCGTCTTGTTCGTCTACTCAGAAAGGGCTTAAAGAAGCCTTGACCTGGTCAATAAAAACAGACTCGAGAAACTTTGAAATTGCATTTAAGTAACAAAAAGGGTGTTACTAAATTCTAAATGTTGTTCCGATCTCCCCTCTTAAAAACTGGAACGATATATACTTCTTTCCAAAGCTGCGGTACCATACCTAATTCCAAGGATTTCCTAAAGCAAGAGAGGTTTAGCTCGGGTTTGAGCCCAATTTTTTAATATAATTGGGGGAACATCATCATGTCCACTTACAGGGGACGGTTTTGGAGCAACGAGTTTATTTTCAACCATGACTTCGTTAAGAAGTATCCCGGTTAGATAATAAGAGTTGGAAGGAACCACGCTAGAACTGGAGGAATTTGAGGACAGTTGAATAATTTAAAAAAAAATCACAAAACGTTTCTGATCACAGAGTCGTCTGTTATTATAATGAAAGACCGGAAAGATATCATTATATGAAGTCTTTGCTTCAATGCATAGTACATATTTATTCCAATCCTACTCTGAGTGACGTTTATGATCATTATGCACCACCTATCCGCTTTATGTTAGAATAACCAGAAAGAGGTTACAATTGGAATGTAGTATGGCCAGGGGAATGTTGGATCTCCTTCCCTCTATGAAGCTATTTGCACTATTGTAAGTTTTTAATTGTCAACTGAATATATCATTAGAAATAGTTTCAAAGATCTGATGAAGTGTCCTATTACTCAAAAACTTGAACTGAATGTTTCCATTTCTTTCAAAATCGCATCGCCAAGTAAATAACATATATATATTGTTGCGGATGTAACTATTTACAGTCTGACAATGAATGCAACAAGAATTTCTTTATTATCTTTCAGAACTACTATTAACTGAACTAAGACTTCGTTCAGCCGGTTGACTAATTTTAAACCAGCTCAGAGAGTGAGATTTATTTTTGGGATCTGCGGAATGATGAAAATCTTCCTATCTTCGCAGTTGTTTCATTTTATGTAACTTATAAAGAAAGATCTGTCTTAGTAGGAATAACACAGATCCAGCACTGAAGATGGCGAGTAATAAAGGCGTCTGAAAGCCAAAAACAGCAAGGTTAGAATAATTAAAATAATCAGGAATGACAAAACCATTAACTTGAAATATCATATTTCCATGTTAAGTTCAATAACATCAGGTGTGAAAACTACCCCATCCCCGGGCAATTTTCTTCTCGACTTCTTGCATTTTTGCGTCGGGCTGGTGGGGCAAGGGCTGAACGCGCCCCGCTCCTGCGCCTGGTCCTCGGTTCATCAGTGGTTCAGTTCCGCGCTGCCCTGCTAAGTGTTCACTTCGTGTAGTCATGGTTGTGTGCTGAAAACGAGATCGCAACAATATGACGGTAACGCTCCTAGTCACCATCGTCACCCTCCTAACAGGTTAGCAACTACAAAAAGAAAATAAATGGCGAACAAAAAATCATGAAACGTGAACACCTGGAAAAATCAACACCCCTAAAATTCTCTTACTTGTTTTATCATTTTATTTATTTAGTTGAAAATTAAATCACATTTTATTATCAAAGAAAAATAGTTGTTAGCAATAGCAATAGGCGTTATCCAGAAAAAACAAACAAATTCGTTACGATTGTCTTTGATATATATATGACAACAATAAAAAAAATTAATTTATTTAAAACGGCAGAAAAATTTAGAATTCATCTTCTGTAAATTACAGGGGCAAATTTTTTCTATAAATATTAAACCAGTTTTTATCTATTAAAGAAATATTTTATGCTGAAACGAATTTTTGATTGTATGAGATGGTTAGGGACGGGATGAATTTCGTTACTTTTTCATAAATTGCTAATGAAATTAAACGAAAAAACACTCCACTCGTAACATCAAAACAAATACATTCAGTTTAAAATATATGCTCGAAATGTTTTCCCCTTCCGTTGTTTTGGTAACTTCATTTTTTAAAGTCAGCAAACGTAACGAACGGTCAACTTAATCTAATAAATCAAAGATCTGTAGATTTGACTATTTTTCGATTTCGATTAAAAAAAATAGCTTGTCTCAAAAATTTAAAGAGTAAAGAAATTTAGAGGTTATCTTATAGAAATTGCAAAAGGGTAATTCTTCGTTAAAAAAATAAGCACGGCTGTAATTATTAAGCAAAACATGTTATACTTTGACGAACGTTTTGTTTTATTATTGACGAGTTGTTCTAACTACCGAACAAAGTTTTATAATTATAACACCTCATGTTTGGTCCACAAAAAGTTTACTTGCTTGGAGTATGTTTCATAAGTTAATTATGTTAAGAGATTACACAAAGTTTTTTAATAAATTTGAATAAGATAAAAGCACTGTATTTGAAAATTTCTGTAATATCTGTTTAAATATTTTCAAAGAGCTGTTTATTTTCGAAAGGATCTGATTTTCTGCCATATTGACGTTTTATATAATAAATTTGATTAAATTATTTATTTAAATAAGAAAAAACCCTCGAAGTATTATTTCAATGTCGGAACCGTAATTTTCGTTTTACCACAATTGATTTTGTGATATAATGTTGAAATAAAATTCAAATTTTAGTAGTAAAATTTGCCAATGCTTCGTTTTACGCTTGTAGAATTTTTTTTTTTACCATTTCCATGCTAAATATAAAATTACGCTGCAGTTATTTGCATGTAAAAGAAAACTACAAAAGATTTTGAAGGCGAAGTTTTACCACAATTATTTATTAGCATGTTGAAAGGTCAAAGGTTTATCCTGAAAGAGTAAAATCTTTGTTTGCATCATTGTCACCGAATAAATAAGTCCGATGTATTTTATTTTTTATGAATACTTAAAAAGAAGGTTGTTTTAGTCCTCTGGTCAAATATTTTTATACAAGACACTAATTTGGTGGTATGAAACAACGTTTTATGGAAAACTAAAATTCTGAAATTGTTGGAAGGAAAGTACTTTCTACTTTTTTTTTCGTTTTTCCTGTTACATCATTTTCATATTATAAATAATTATGTTATATTTTTTAATGAATGAGTAAAATTTGTTAACTAGGAAGAATAAAATGCTTCGATTGCAACATTGTGCCTAATGAAAAAATGTGCATATAATTTATTTCGTTTTAAATAGAGCATTCCGTACTTCATTTTAAAAGGAAAGCACACATCCATATTAAATAAAAATAAAGTAAGCTTCAGAACTGAAGCTAAGTTGAATTACCTTTTACAAAACACTACTTTAGTAACATTTTTCCATTTAATCGCACTGTTAATAATTATTAAATAGTATTTTTTTAAAGTAAGTCTTCTCCTGTTGCATAATTTTCATAAAGAAATAATTATAAGTTATTACAATTTTTAATGATTAAAGAACAAATGTCTTTATCGTGGAGGAGCAAAATTCTAATAGAGTTATTTTTTATGGATAGAACTTTATGAACGGTATTTTCTTGGAAGTGATGTATTCGACTAATATTACATAAAAACAATGTAATCATCTGTATAATTATTTCTAAACAAAACTCTACTTTATTAGCATATTCCATCTAGCATCATTTCATAGAAAATTAAAGTTACAAAAAAATAAAAATCTGAAATGATTATTCGTCTTACCTTTTTTAATAAAAACAACAAAGGGCATGTGGATAAGCAAAATTCTTCAGTTTCATCCTGGTCACGGAATAACAAATTTTTGTGTTGGTTATTCTCGTCTTCTTTTCTTCTCTTTTGTTCCTGATCACTAGCTATCAATAGTAGTGTACATTTGTATTTTACTACTTGAAATTCGCCTAAGCTGTTTTAGTTTTTTATTTGTGTCCTTTTACTAAACCATTATTTACAGCTTATTTTTCAAGACTAGTACATTTTGTTCTACCATTAGCGAAGATGGGGGTTACAGTACAAAAAAAAAAAAAAAAAAAAAAAAAAAAAAAAAAAAAAAAAAAAAAAAAAAAAAAAAAACACAATCTACACAAGAATTATTTTTATACAAAACACTACTTTAGCAACGTTTTCCATGTTACAACTTTTCATGGATTCTTAAATAGTACTATTTAGAAAAATAAAATTCTGATTTGTCCTGTTGCCCAATTTTAATGTAGAAAATAGTTATATGGTTGTACCGTTTGTAATGAAAGAACAAGTTTGTATAATCAAAATACAATTGTAAAATCAAAATTCTTCTTATGGGTCAATATCATCTAATCGCAAAATTTTTATAGTTTATTTTTCACGAATAGTAGGTTTTGTACTACCAATATCATTAAAGGGTGTGCTGTAAGCGTTGCATAAAAACTAATAAATGTAGATTTTAATTATATTATTTATTTTGTAAGGATTTTAAGGTCCTTTATGTATGTAAATTTGTAAACAACTGGCCAAAGAAAACGTTTTTAGTATATTAAATGGATATAAAAAATATATAAACCACTAAGTCCAACAACCACTACCTACTTCTAAAAACATGCAATTTGTTAGGAAACAAGTACAAACTATTCAACATGATTTGTTATTTTATTTAGACATAAATTGTATCTATAGTTTGGAAAAGAAATTTCTTCTTAAAAACCGAAGGATTGTCCAAAAGTCAAGTAAATATTATTTCCTTTGAATCAAGGCTAAAGAAAAAAATGTATTTGGAGTCAAAAGCGGCGGATTTTTCGGCGTTCATTAAAGTTTTATTGAACTTTGACGCCGGCACGTTTTTAGCCTTTTGGACAAGCTGTAGGCAGTTGTTCAAAGAAACGATCCGGATGTATAATAATTTTTAAGGAATAAATTAGTCAAATTTCTTTTTTGTATTTTGGGTTCTAATAAACGAAAAAGTGGGAAAACATAAAAACACTTCCTGCTATGCCTTTTATTGAAATTAACCGCGTTCTGCAGAATGGAAATTATTGGATGTCCTGTAAATTGTATTTCCTTGAAAAATGTGTGATAAATATTAATGATCGGAGCAATGAACCGTTCGTTAGTGGAATTTAATATTATATTCTAGATTTAATGGCGTGTTGTTGTTTTAAATAGTAAAATATTATGCCTTATTCTGCTGCAAAATAAAATAAATTATTTTATTCTGCTTCCAGATAAGTTGGTAATTTCTCGTTCCGTGCAAATACAGAAATTGGCCGGTTTTTAACAATCAGCGGTTATATGTATTTATTTTTCCTTTTGTTTGTATACCTAATTGCCTACGATTGTGTCATAACGTTCTTTACCGAATAATTAACGAATGTTTTAATGACTCAGCAGTTTACAATAGTTTTGTTTGCAAAGGGCGCCTCCCGTACCAAAGGGTAATTGGTCCCCCGGAGAGTGAACGGTTCAACGCCGAGTTTACATTTTTTTTCTATCTCGTATGTCCAAGTACTAAAATGCCGTCGCTCATGTTCAAAGGGAAAAAAGCTGTTTTTGAATTGTTTTTCAAAATGGCTGTTTAGACATTGCCACTGGTTTTGAAATGATCGTTTTCTGTGATCTCGGAATGAATTAATGTTTCCTGTTTTAATTATTAGTGAATTACCTGTAACAGTCCATTTGGCATGTTATTTACCCCAAGTACACTTTTTGTATAAAGGATTGATTTGATTTTTATCGGGGTGTAATTAAATGACAATGAATCACGTCCAGTGGCGTTTCGACATATTTAATTATTACAATATTGAACTTCTTTATACATAATTAATCCACCAATAGTAAATTACTTTTTTATTTGTCCAATCAATATGTTTGTCTTTTTGTTTTCATTTGCAATTATTGTCATCCATTAGTTTTTTTTTATTTGTGCCTGAAGTCGGTTTTTTAGTTTTTATAGTTAACTTTCAAGTTTATAATAAATTGGATTACTTAAGTTTAATGATGATAATCATCCATAACTGGTTTTCTATGACATTGAACAATCCGCTAAGTGTAACTAAGTTGTGTTATAACTTCACAGTTTTTTTAATCCCTCCTTACAAGTCTCATTTGCGGAGTTAAAATTTTAAGAAAGATGAATTGTATGTTGTTCTATTGATGTAATATTGGGAGGAGGAACAGATAATCCAGTTTTCATTATTTTCTATTCCATTCCAATTGCTGTGTTTGAACTAAGCGGACAATATCTGATTTTAATAAAAGTCAACAGTTTTCGAAGTCGGAACTTCATTGGAAAGTCTTTTTTTTTGCGAGGGTTCGCAACAGCAGAGGTCATATAAACTCCCGAAAGTCATCTTTGTGTAGGTGTTTGTTATTATTAAGTTTTTTGGCTTTAAAGTTAAGCTGTTATGTCTTTGTAACAACAGGTTGACCGCAATATCTCATTTTTACTTCTTGTACTACGCTACAGCTGGTTGAATATTTTAATTCACATTCTTTCGAAAATTGATTACAACACGTTTCTACAGACTTATCAACAAATCGACTCAAATCCGGGGAATTTATTATATT